TTATTTCAAAGTAGATAAAGAATAATTACGAAGGACGCTGTGCACAAATTTAGACCACTTAGAAGCTTATATCGCTTAAATATAGAAGTAAATTATACCGTGTGCAGTATTTCCTCCATGTAATATATACGTGGCGTTCGGTTTCTGTCGAAATATTGCGAATATATCATTGATCGAGTAAACTTTCAAGACGTTAGCATTCTCTAATTGGATATCAAACGTTGTGCATTCATCAGGAAATTGTTCATCGCAACTATCTATACACGGCATTCCGGATTTCGGGCAGACTTTGATCTTGTATAGTTCCTACAAAGCATACTTTTGTTATAAATACTTACAATAAGAGAGTTAAACAAAAGATAGAGTGAATTCTTAAAAGTTATAAATAATAATGATTATATTATTAGAGCAGCAAAATAAAACTTCTTCTCTTTGAATAAAATAAAAGTTGAAATAAAAAATTTTTGACATAAAAGTGAATTTTTCACACGCGAGCACCTCAATGTCGTGTATCTCTTTCACCATTGATGAGGGTGCATCGCTAGCAAATCTTTTAAACGCATCCAAAATTGGACGATATCCAGTGCAGCGACACATGTTACCACCGAACGAATTTTCGATTTGCAGCATAGACAATTTTTTGTCTTTTATGAGACTGCAAATTAGAAATACATTAATACAGTTTTATTGTATACGCTAAATATGCGATGCATGATATCTTTGCTTCGGCCCAATAATATAGTGATTTGACTTTATATAAAATTATATGACCAAAAATTTTAGAAAGATTTAATTTGTTGCGAGAAGATTGGATACGTTCGAAATATTTCTTCATGAATCAATTAATTGCTTTGCCGGATACATACCTATATAAATTCATCACCATGCCGGGAGAACAATATCCGCATTGCGATCCATTTTTCTCAGCAAGCGTAGCTTGAATCGTATGATAACCATCTCGTATATTACCTATGCCTTCAATTGTGTGAATATCCCATCTGCGACATTATTAATAATATATTAATAGATATGTGAAACATTACTAGTGTTAAGAAAGTCGATCAAAAAACTTCGGTAGAAGTTAAAAAAATAAGCATGATAGTATTTTTACATATATTTAAATTTTAAAGCCTTCAAGACTGATATAAAAAAATGACAAATTTATAACTTCAGAAAACATATTTCTTTTATTTTATTTGAAATACAATTTAACCGTGTAATTTTTTTTATATGCATACCCATCGCAGATAAATACTGGTACAAGACAAGAATTTACAGCCATTGTTTTGCCCTTGATTTTTGCAGCCACGATACAGGCGCCGCAGCCACCTTCGTGGCACATGGCTTTTGTGCCACGAAGTTTCGCATAATCGCGAATGTAGACATTGAGGGA